GCAGCAACCTTTTTGTTAGATTGAGCTGCTTTAAGGAACCTTCGGAGGAACACGAAGGGTGTCGGAACCGACATATTGAATTGCAGACAGTTGAGCATCACTGTCTCCTACAAGAACACAACTAAAACTCATTAAATGTTTCACAGACAAAGATCTTGTCGAACAAGAACAACAATGGAGCTAGAGAATTCACCATTTCAAGAACTTCTTTTCTGGAGTAAGCTTTATCAGAAATAAGAATCAAATCTCCGACAACAGGGACAGAAACTTCTTCATATTTGCAAGCTAAGAGCATAGAAACCAAACCAACCAGCTGAAGTTTCTTCCTCACAACTGTTTTTTGCGACAAGAACCTGTCTATCAGATTCACAGTGAGAAACAATGTTTCTCCAATGAGATCAAACTTGTCGTGCACTTCAATAAGCCAGTCGATCAGTATAGCTCTCATTTTCTCATTAATGTCGAATTGTTTCGTCATGTAATTCGGGGAAACACAGCTCGAATTCTGCGCCAGACAGTTTAAAAAGCTCTAAGATGAGCAGATCTCATTCCTTGAAAATGGCAGCCAAGATCCACAGCCAATTTACCTCTAGTTTTCTGTAGTGTGCGTAGAGATCATCGACATAATCGACAACGGCAAGCGGGTTTGTGGAATCGACACCATCGATATCGATTACCGGGTCATCGTGTTCATCTGTGATATCCTCCATTTCAACCTCCGCCTAGATTACAGAAGATCGAACATGAAATTTGAACATAAGAACTGGCTGAATTGCTGTTGGGGGATTGGGATTTCTTACCATTTGGGTTGCTTCCTGAGACAATGATGATGGTTCTGGTTTCTCCAAGAACATGGGAACTGGATGATCATTTTCTAGTGTTTTGCAATCCTCGTCTACAAATATGGAATGTCCAAACGCATTTGAGTTTGAAAGAAATGAGTTAGGCTTATTAGTTCCCTGCCCAAGATAAACAAATCATAAAGATCCATTATCAAAAGGCGTCTGGTTCCTTAAAAAACAGAGCACAAAGAACAGAGAGTGTTTTACTTGTGGCTGATGAAGCTGTTGACTACTAGCAATCTGAGCTGCAAACTTCCTGTAAAAGCAACATTTTCAAATTTCAAAACAAACCCTTTTCCATTTTTCATTTGGAAGATTCAAAATCCAAACAAAACCCACCTCGTAATCGGTCTATGAAATGGATCAACCTGCTTTTTCTCATAGATTTCTTGCTTCCTAAGTAAGAAAAAGGGAAAGTTCATCGAAATCCTCACCAAATTCAAAAACAAAACATGAAACTCCAAGGATTCAAATGATATACCCTGAGAGAGCTCTCTTGTTAACAACACAAGGGTAAGCTTGATAATTCTGATTGATATCATTAAGAGCTCTTCGATTATTAGTTCTACTAATCTCCTGCCCAAAAGCCCTCCCTCTGTTCTCCAACCCTCCTCCTAAAACCGCCATTCACAGACCCAAAATCAGCAAAAGGTAAAGAAAAAACACAAATTGGGAAGGAGATTTTGCAAAAGAAGCAAACCTGGAAGAAACGCAGTGGGTTTGATCATCAAGTTGGGATTGTTCTCGTCGGAAAACGCCATTGATTCCGGTGAACAGAGAACAGAAACAGCCCCAGAACGAAGAAGGAGATGGTGGAAGCAAAATCTGTCAAAACGGGGAAATGGGTAAGCTTAGAACCAGCATCTACAAGGAGCCAGTGAGAGAGGAGGGGGTTTAATGGAGAGGGTATTTGTCTAGAAAAGGCTTATTAATTAGACGCCATGGTGTTTTCAAAAGCAACGGCTAGTCAGTGTAATATGACCGTTGGATGTTGGGGGCGTGGGTTGGCCGATGCGAAAAAGAGAAGACTTTCACTCAGGGTTTGTCCGAACAACGGTCACCTGAGCTGTTTTAATTTTTTTTCCTTTGCCTTTCTTTGGCACGTGCCTGCCCTTTTTCATTTTTACCGCATTTCATTTCAAATTTAACTCACTTTTTTTTTTATTTGTTTTATTCTCTCTCTCTCTCTCTCTTTTTTTTTTTATTAAACTACAAATTAGATTCTCCTATTTTGTATTTAGCTTCAATTTCGTCCGTTTTTTTAAAGTTCTATTCAATTTTGTTCCGGTTAAGCTTAAATTCATTTTGGTCTACGTCATCAACTGAAACGTCAATTTATGAAGTTTGACCAACTAAATTATAGTGATCGAATTGAAACTAATTTCAAGCTGGGTTGAGGAATAGGCTTCGGGACATTTGGTGCAAGGATTCTAACACTTACGGCACGAGAATCTTAGCATTTCTCGACGGTGGGTTTTCAAATTTTTTTAGTACAACAAGTGTGATGGTCTGAAGATTTGGACTTTCCATCTAAAATAATAGTGTTTGTCAAATACAGCTGAGTTACGCTCGTTTTGTTAACTATTCTATAATGTAAAGGTGTTCCGACTACTCAACCCAAACCATAAAAGTTAAGTTGTGTTGGGTTGAATTTTTTTGAAAAATCGAAAACTTTGACTTGATTTACGGGTTGACAAAATTTAAAATAATAAAAAAAAAAACCCGAGAACCAACTCGAAAATAGAGTTTTCGGCTGATTTATGTGGAATGTTTCTATTTTTGTAATAAAATTCTCATATTTCTTATCTTTAATGGCAAAAAGAGTAAAGTGATGTAACTACTTTTGTCTTCTTGTTTCAAATTCTTTGGCTATTCCTTAATTATGGATTGCAATTCTACGCCATCATTAACTTTTTTTGTTTTTTTTTTCGATATAAATATTCAAAGTTTAACTCGAGTAACGAATATCACGCGATTAACTAATTTTTGAAATATTTTAAGTATATAATCAAATTTTGTGCTAAGAATTTTATCTCGCACGTGCTTTCCGAGACATTCTTTAGCTCGAGAGTTTGAGTCTTTCATGTCTACTATTTCTCTCGAGGCTCGAAGTTAGAAAGGTGATGAAAGTTTTATTACCTACGTACAGAGGCGGAAGGCTATCGCAGAGCAAGACTCTCCCGAGACAAAAGCTCGAGCACAATCAAGAGATCTGATAATGAAAATGTATATATATATATATATATATATTTTTTTTTTTTTAATGTGGATTTGAAAATTGAAATGTAATTTGATGTTGTGAAGATATAAAATTTAAATATAAAGTGTATTGGATGTGAATAAAAAATAATATTTCAATAGTGGAGAGAGCGTAGGCTTAAAAGGGAGATATTCCTTTCCCATTGCCAGCTTGTCCCCACAAAAGGGGTGCCTCCAACGTGCCACGCGTTGTTTTCTTCTTTTCTTTTCTTTTTTTTTGAATTTTAGATGCTGACTGGCTCCTAAAAATGGAGGGTCCCAATCCAATGGCATCCTTGTCAGCATGGCTCGAGAAATCCAAATAGGCTTCACAATCCTAACAAACTCAACCTTTTATATATATATATATATATATATATATATATATATATATATATATATATATATATTATCGTTTTGGAATTTCTTTTATTTTAAATTATTTTTAAAAAAATATCGATTATAAACATTAAATATTCTTAATCTATTCAAAAGTATGGTTGGGTTGAATTGCAACTCTATTTTTAGGTTGGTCAGATTGACGAGACAAAAAAATGTCAACTTCCAAATCAAACAAAATTTTTAAATTTCTATTATATTTAAAAAAAAAAAATCATCTCGTTTAATAATTACATTAAAATATTATTGAAAAAATATATTTTGTCACATTATTAAAAACTTTATTAAACGCATAATTCGTAAGACCTTCCTTTCATTTTATATAAATAAATGGTATATACATTCTTATCTTGAATCGTATATTAATAATTAATATCATGAAAAAGAACAAAAGTAACTTAAAAAATAAATTATTCGCATAATTTTTATGATCGGATGAGGATGTTATTTGAAATATAAGTTTTTATTTATTCAAAAAAATAAATTTGAAACAATAAAATACCATAAAATAATTTAAAAACTTAAAAAAAATCATATGAAAGAACAGAAGTATGATGGGTTGAGAAGCCCATGTACAAGCCCAACTTAGTTGGGCTTTCTATGGACCGGCCTTTATCAGGCCCATTTTAGTATTGACTAATTAGTTAAATTACAAATTTGTTATTTTCGAGTTCGATAAAACTAAGGAGATAATTTATAAAATTTTAAAGAAAATTTAAAATTATAAAGATTAAATTTATAATTTAACCTAAAATAATTTTATGTCAAAATAAATAATAAATTCTCTAAAATTAAAAAAAAAAAATACATTTAATATGTTTTTTAATTTATAATTTATGTTGGATATAATTATAAATATTTATTCTAAGCAATGTATTACTGCAAAATTTAGTAAATTATGTATGAACCAGAGAAATAAATATTTAACCTCATGGTTAAAGATGGAAGAATATATATTAAATATTTGGGTGTGATTATATCAACACCAATGCATTGATTCGGTTCATAATTGCATGGGTAAGTGTGGTTGGGCTAGAACAGTACTAAGTTAGTCGACTTGTTAGGAAGTCCTCGTGTTGTATCAATTTTAAGAATTATAGGATGAACCGATGGACATGCGACATTCGAATAAACGAGAGGTATATGAATGACAGTGATCCTAATGTTGTAGTGATTAAGAAAAGTAATATTTGACTTTGAGTAATTTCATGTCGAGTGTGACACTAGAGTATAGAATGAGTATAGAAATGAACCGAAATCACATTTGAATGAAAGTGATAGTGAGGATAGGATGACAACGAAAGTCACCGCTTACACCAATAAAGAACACATTTGTTTTTTTGATGGTTCGATCATAAAACTTTATAGTTAAATATTTGTAAAATTTTTAAAAAATTAAAGGTATTTGATGATTTTTTTTAAAAAAATAATTTTCTTTTTGAAGTTTAGGGTTATTTTTTAATATTAATTTAGTATATAAAAAATAAAATAAAAATTAAAAAGTGAAGTATAGAGCGTTGAGATCCAATCCCACCGCGACGTGAAGAGGGTGGGAGCTCCGTCGATGGTGGTGGGTCGCACGCCCGCGAAGAACAATGTGGCTTTCCTTCTAACATTTGTCCGATACTTCAGGAAAGGTCGTTACCCCATCCTTCACTCTAACCTTAAATTCAGTTAAACAATCGAGAGCATTCCGCCCGAAAACGGAATTCTTTTTCCAATACCCAATTTATAGTAAAGAGAATCAAACAAGCTTCAGCAGCTCAATTTCTCACCTCCATTGCTTCATCTTCTTCTACTTTCTGGATCGGACCTCTCTCCACGAGAGGATCTTTTTGTTTTTTTGTTTCCTCTTGATTTTAGCGTTTCTTCATCTTCTACCTGATCTTAGATTAAAAGGGTTCCAAAGCATCGTTTAATCGGTATGGCTTGGTGATTTAAGTATTGGTTTGATTGACTGTATTTATGTTTTTGTTGTGCGTGGATTTTTGGTTACTGGGTATCTGATTCTTTTGTTAGTGGGTTGAGTTGGAACCAAATAATGATGGAGAAGACAGATTCTGCACAGAAGTTGTATACACGCATGCGATTATGGGAATTTCCAGATCAGTATGTTATAGAGCCGACTGATGGCTCTTGTGGTTCGTCTTTGTCAGTTAGTCGTGTCGATGGATCTATGAAACTTATAGGTTCGTGATGGGATTTTTACCCTTTTTTTTTTTTGCCTGGATTGAATTGAATTGCTTGTTCACATTTGACTTTTTGATATTTCGGCATTTCTTGATTTTGTTGATTCTGAATGTTTACTGAGTCGGCAATTTTCCTCTTTGCTGCTTCAGAAGAGCTTCCTCAATGCAGCTCTGTCAGGGTTCCAAAGATAAGGACAATTTTTGGAGTGATTGGCATGCTGAAACTGTTAGCAGGTGACAATTCTCGAGAAGTTTTATTCATATCTTCTTAACGTGGAAATTTGGGTTCTATTTTTTAGTTCAATGGTAAATGATTCGAGTTTTCATTATACAATCTTCTACCATGTCTCTGTTTTTCCATATTTGTTTGCATTTGTGATTGTGAAAGTTGAATCGTGTTGGCTAAGAATGGTTGACGCAAGAGGATATAAAAATACCGTATTTTCGAGGATTTAGACCTTTCATGGAGAACAAATCTGTAGAGAACGTTTCTTTGCTTGAACCTTTTTTTAATTTGTAAATCATTTTGGAAGCAGAATCTAAATGGAGAGAGTTTCTAGCTTCTGGTGAACCGGTGATCTGCTAATACTTGGAGTGAGGTCTAGGTATTCCTTGCTTGGATGAAGCTGAGAAATAAATAGAAGTATTGCAGAACGCAATCCACAAAGAAAATGAGAGGGTTTGGGATAGAGCCTTAATTTGAAATATTCCTTAGATAAGCAATTTTTAGAACTTTAAGTATATTTTTACTCAAAACACTGCAAAATGCTCTCTTATATTGATGTTTTTCCAATAACATCTTGCATCACGTGTGGCGGCCATTGGATAGTTTCTCGTTTGAATGTCTGAAGTCCACCTTCAGACCATGAAAGTTGGACTCGCAATCATAATTTTTAAATTGCTACTTAAAGTTCGTAAATTTGATCTTATCCTAGGCAAAATTGTATATGCTCACGTATTTTACTCTATTTAGAAGAATATAATTCTCAAAGTAAATATGGGAATCAGGAGGATTGATTCATATTACTATTTTATTAAGCAAACATTGTCTCCATTATGAGGGTTCCAAATGTATTCAGAGCTCAGTTTTCCATATCTCATACTTGTCGTCACTTATTCTCAAAAATTGTATATGCTCACGTATTTTACTCTATTTAGAAGAATATAATTCTCAAAGTAAATATGGGAATCAGGAGGATTGATTCATATTATTATTCCTAGTAAGTAAACATTGTCTCCATTATGAGGTTTCCAAATGTATTCAGAGCTCAGTTTTCCATATCTCATACTTGTATTCAGCCATCCAGTGATTTCTTTTGCTGCATCCATGTGATTCTTTGAGAATCAATGTATGGTCAGCCATATTGTCATTTTCTTCATTAAGCTGCTCACGTAATTAGATGTCCTGCTATGTCTGCCATTTTCAGGGTCATATTTAATTGTCATTACTGACCGTGAGAGCGTGGGGTCTTATTTGGGGCATCCAATCTTTAGAATTTCATCCTTGAAAGTTTTTCCATGTGATCATTCAGTAAACAGTTCTCCTGTGGAACAGGTAAGACTATTGTTTGTTTTTTTTATAACACAGTAATAAACTGACTATATCATTTCAACAAAACTAATTAGACGATCTCTTGCAGAAAAAGATGGAGGCGGAGTTTTCTGGACTCTTGAATGTTGCAGAGAAGACTCCTGGTCTCTATTTTTCATATGATACCAATTTAACCCTGAGGTGAAGTTCTTTCCTAATCGGTCGTATCTTTTGTATTTATTTGTTGCCGTGACTCTGAATCCAGATGAATTATAAAAACCAAAAGGGTTCATATACAAAATGGGTTAACCATTGCTTGAAATAATTATCTCTGTATCTTTCTCTCTATTCATTTGTTTCTGTTTGGTTGCAGCGCACAAAGATTGCATGCTTTAGGTGATGAATCAAAGTTACTACCCTTATGGAGACAGGTTAGGCCGCATTTTGATTCTAATTTTTTGGTCTTCTGTTGTCAATATTGTTCAGCCCAGTTATATTGTTGATTTCCAGTGTCTTAAATTGCAAAGAATTAGGGGTTTTATTAACAAATTTTTCTTGCCTGCAGGCAGAACCAAGATTTCTTTGGAACAATTACTTGTTGGAAGTACTCATCGACAGCAAGGTTGGACTGCTGGAGATTTAGTTGTTATCTGTTCTCCCTTCCCTGACACCCTGGAGTTCTCTCTGTTAATATTTATTTTTTCATTTTGCAGCTTGATCCATATTTACTTCCTGTTATCCAAGGCAGTATCCTTACCTAATTATCAACTCAGTCCTTTTAGCTATGGATGCATGTGAATGGGGTTATGCAGATTGTTTTCCTTAGTCTAAATTTTGCATGAACATATTTGAAGCATCTGTTGTCATCCTCTGGGTAGTCTTTCCTTAATAGATTGTTAGGCTTCCAGAACTTTCAGGCTGCTATTGGAAAAGATATCGTTGATGTAACTCTGATTGCTCGTAGATGCACAAGGAGAACAGGTATTCCTTGTTTATTTAATTGAAACTGCAATTTTTACTTATTTAGAGTACTCTTTGTTTCTTTATTTATTTTTTAAAAAAATTGAAGAATATGATTAAAGCTAGACTAGAGTATGAACATGCGTTGGTAGGTTTTGTTGCTGATCCGGAGTGTTCTTTTTCCTGTGTTCTGTTAAGTTCTCAATTGTTCCAAAAGGAAAAACACTAACATAGAACTGATGAGGCAAATGGATTTTCACTCTGGCTTTGAATCTTTGAAGCATTGTGTTGAGTGTTGGCTCTCTTCCTTCAAAATTGATGAATGAAATACCTGAGTTGAATATTCCAGCGTCGGTGTCCAAGTTTGACTTAATGTTGCCAAACGCCATAATAATATTTTTAAAATATTTTGATCATAAGGGGAAGGAAAAAAAGGCATGCTCTAGTACATGGTGCACCCTTTTCCAAAATGTTAATTCATCAATAGCTAGCAGTTGAAAGTTATCACATGGTTATTGACCTGCCTATTCTGAAAGGAACTCGACTGTGGAGAAGAGGAGCCGACTCTGATGGATATGTTGCTAATTTTGTGGAAAGTGAGCAAATTGTTCAATTGAATGGATTCACAGCATCATTTGTTCAGGTAACACTTCACTTAGACCATTAACACACACACACACACACACACATTGAAAATAATGTAATAATTACTGAATAGTTGAAAAATTCTTGGTAGTCTTATTACAAAACTAAGGAAATGAAAATTATTATTATTATTATTATTTTTTTATCAATAATGTTTAATAATTCAAAGTTTCAGTTTATAAGAAAAAAGTTATTGATATAGTTTTAGTAGTATATCATTTTGCATTTTAAACATAACATTAATTATATCTCAAATGACAAATGAGAAGTTGGAATTTTAATGTTCATACATTGATCAAAACTGATCATAATCTAGACCAATCCTAGGATGCAGAGTGATTCTTAATATTTTACTTGGAATGTCTTCTAGATCTTTATACAGCATCTCTGACTTTACAACTCACCTTTGACAATGGATTTTGTAGATTCGGGGATCAATTCCATTGCTTTGGGAGCAAATTGTTGATTTGACATACAAGCCCAAATTTGAATTAGTGAAAACTGAAGAATTTGTGAGCTTCTTTTGTTGCTTGGTGTTATTCATCAGATATTGAGTTCTATAGTTTTTATTGATTGGTTATTGTATTGCTTCCAGCCTCGAATAGCCGAGCGGCATTTTCTCGATTTAAGGAAGAAGTATGGGGCTGTCTTGGCTGTTGATCTTGTCAACACGGTGATTCCCTGGTTATCTATTTCTGTTTTCTTTTTGGTGTTTGTATCATTGCATTCATGCATCTATTTAGCAATCTAATTAAAATGGCCAATATTTTATCACCTTTTTCTGTTATCAGCATGGAGCTGAGGGGCGTTTGAGCGAAAAATTCGCAAGTGCCTCGCAACATGTTACCGGTGATGATGTAAGGTAAAATCTTCTACCTTTTCCTATTTATATTAAATTTGGAGCTTATCATCATTCACCCATAATGAGAGCTAAAACGTTGTTTCAGATACCTGCATTTTGATTTCCATCAAATCTGCGGGCATGTTCATTTTGAGCGCCTCTCGATCCTTTATGAACAAATCTCAGACTTCCTTGATCAAAATGGGTCAGTTCTCTTCATCTCTCGCTCTTCTACGTTTCATGGATTATGAAATAAGCTTTTTCTTCCATTTTCATTGTCAGGCACTCTGTTCCCATCATTTGGAAGCTTTATTGAGCTGCTAAAAATTAGTCCCCCTTTGACACAATGTTTATTTACTGTTTGGAATATGTAGGTACATGTTATTGAATGAACATGGTGAGAAAATGAAGGAACAGCTTGGAGTTGTGAGGACCAATTGTATTGATTGCTTGGACCGCACAAATGTTACGCAGGTAGCTTAGCTGACAAGGGTTGGTGAACGATGAAATGAGCCATATGAACTTAACGCCCCAAAAATTTTTCATTACATTGAATATAATTGATTGAAAAGATTTTCATTTTGCAATTGTTTTGTTAGTATTTATGTTATAATACGTTTGCAGAGTATGATAGCCCGAAAGATATTGGAATCTCAACTCAGGAGACTTGGAATTTTTGCTGCTGAAGAAACCATTAGCTCACATCCGAACCTCGATGATAGCTTTAAAATCAGTGAGTCAATTCAGCATCCCATTCTGGCTTATTTACTCACTGAAGTTTGAAGATGTTATTGTGTTTACTGCTAGCTTTCATTTTTCATTGGAAGTGTTAGGCTTAATCTATCCATGTATTTTATCTGTACTTTGCTGTTTTTTTTATTCAGTTTGGGCTAATCATGGAGATGATATAAGCACACAATATTCCGGCACTCCCGCGTTGAAAGGAGATTTTGTTAGGTACTCCTACCTCACTTTCGGTTCAATTCTTTTGCTAAGCATTCACATCTAGTCTTTTTCTTGCAACATCATGCTGTTTAAGTTGGGCTTGAGCTATTACAAATTGTATCAAAGCTAGATACAGTGGATTATGAGATCCCACATCGGTTGGAGAGGGGAACAAAACATTCCTTATAAGAGTGTGGAAACCTCTCGGGTTTAAAACCGTGAGGCTGACGGTCGTAACGGGCTGAAAGCAGACAATATCTGTTAGCGGTGGGTTTGGGCATGTGAATTTTTTGTTATATTTTTGTTTTAAATCATTCAATGTGATTTGGTTGAAGATATGGCCAACGGACGATTCAGGGGATCTTGAAGGATGGTTGGAATGCTCTCCTACGTTATTATTTGAATAACTTTGTTGATGGAACAAAACAGGTAGGATCCATTTTCATCTTCATTTTAGAGAGATACTTCGTTAAGCTTACAACCTTTTCAATTGACTTCAAATGCACTCTGGCTTTTGTGAAGGATGCTATTGATCTCTTGCAAGGACACTATATCGTTTCGGTTAGTCGGGATTTGACTCCCACAACTCAAAAGGGAGGCTTAGAAGCTGTAGCGGTGAGTGATATTGAAAATGGCAGTGCTCATTCAAAGGGGGTTGCCAAGCAGCCGACTTAATTTTAGTTTATAAAATGCTTCTTATATACTAACCTCATTTTTACGTCTCTTGCACAGTCCTTCCCACTGGCTTTCTCTCTGGTGTTGACAGGGTTCTTTTTTGCAGCCTTGTCATTAAGACAAGGTGAGTAGAACGTCGAGATGACCGTACTATTTATGACATTATAATCGAAATCTCTACTCACACTTCATTTCGTTTCTCTTCTCTTTTGCAGCTCGCTATGATCTTCGACACTTGTTCTTCTCAATGCTGTGGGCAGGCCTGAGCATAGCTATAGCAGGTTTCGTTAAAGCCAATGGTCGGATTTTCTGCAATCGACCTCGTCTGCACAAACCTCGATCATGATTTTGGTTCCAGAGATTGGCAAATTCGGCCAACCGTTCATTGAAATTCAAAGTTTCTTTCGAAGATTTCCTGTCATTTATAGTCTCTCTTGGTTCCATCTGAAGTGCCAAGTAACTCATTAGGATCACTATCCAGAATGTTACTGCAGTTCCCTTTTCTGATCACTCCTGTTTTCTAGAATATCAGATGTTTTTGTCGTGTCATATCGTATCTGACTTGGAACAATATATACATTTTGGAGATACTATTGTAGCAATTATTCAAACACATTATTGATTGAAAATACCACATTTAACAGAAGTTCCATATGAAAATTGCTGATACAGGTCTTTCAAGAGCTTCATATCAGGTATGTATTAAGAAGTAGCATACGATTCTGTAATAAGTGGTGCAAACTAAACTGATGAGCCCCGCCTTTCTCCAGCTCTCTAAATGGTGCACCCTCAATGAGTAGGAAGAAAGAACATGAAGATCTCATCAAGACCATCAATGGACTTGAATCCTGTTTTCTCTGCATTTTCATTTGAGAATTGTTAATCCAGCATTTGGATTTCTTGGAGCTTCTGTAATTGGAACACCAAATTATTTAGCCAGATCTGATAAAGTAATTCTAGCAGTGTGCTCACTTGTTGCCCTCTTTTTCTTTTCTATATCAACTGGTACTCTCACTTGTTGCCCTCTTTTTCTTTTCTATATCAACGGGTACTCTACCTGGTTTACCAACTTTCATAATAGAGCACAGTTATCTCCTGAAATAATGAGTTCTCTCCATTTTAGAGAGTACGTGAAAGTTAAACCCGATTCATAGGACACTTTAGATATAGCTACTTCATTTTTTATAAGGGTGTGGCCGATTCATAGGACACTTTAGATATAGCTACTTCATTTCTTATAAGGGTGTGGAAAAAACATGGGTAAGAACTTCATTTCTTGTCAAGGTGAAACCTCATTTTTTATAAAACTGTGAGGTTGACAATTACGTAACGGACCAAAATAGACAATATTTGGGCTGACATAATTCTCCGGTAGAAAAACCAGATAAATGACATTCTACATTTGATATGCAACCTTGTTGAAGTTCTGTACGGAATAAAAAGAACGGTCTTTAATCACCCAACTAGTGATGTTTGCTGAATAACAGGACAAAGAGTAGGAAAAAAGAGAAGCAGACTGAGATTCTAATCCAGATTGAGACCATGCATGTGCCAGAAACAACTTAGAAACCTTTCTGGAATGAGCTCGTACAAGAACACATTGAAAACTTAGAAGCCCTTCAGAGGAACTCAGTTTGTTCTTTCATCTTGTTTTCTGTCGTACTAAGATGACAACTTTGAAGAGGTGAAAATCTCAATGAGAGAACAAAGAATGGCCCTAAACTGGTTATATTGTTTAGCTTTTATTTCCCCAAAAGAAGTTTACATTCAAATCTCTACATGAAAGGTAATATCGATTTTGAAAGTTTCAATTCTACCATCTCTTCAACGTTCATACATCAAAGGTATTCCTACTTCTGGTGGATGAGCTAAGTTTCTTATTCCCAGTTCAGACCCTGTTTTTTTTAACTCAAGGAGCTCATTATAAAACCTATTGAAGAGTAATCCTGAATAGCCAGAACATTCTCATACATAATATACATAAGTAAAAATGTACTTAATTCTTTTACTCTTAATATTATCAAAATCTTCCACATATTTAAGCATCTAATCTGAAAATTCTGAAAAGAAAGAAGAAAAAAGAATACACTTAGTCTTCCATGAAAATAAGGATAAAACACCAAAGAGCTGCACAAAGATCCTCACCGCATGAAAGAGAGGTGGCACTTGAATAATTGAGTTTCAGCAACTGTGACCTCCTAGACTTATCTCATTTTCAAGTAAACCCCGCAGAGAAAAGGGTACCTAAATGACAGATGCGTACAATGGGGGAAAGGTCGGTGATTTAACCAAGTTATGAACTCATAGGGCTAACAACTTCAATCTCAAAATGCAGTATCAATTAACTCCACAACGATAAAACGTCATCCTACAAATTTGGAAAATTACAAGAACAGCAAAGCCTCAGTGCAAAAATATAGCAACAGAGAACTTTAGAGACTCCATGACCAAATTACCTACTTACTCACTGTCTTGACCTTGACTCAGCTCTTCTAGCCTCATTTGAGGTTGAAGGAAACAACTCCACATATCTCGACCCAATTGTCATCTTGTCCTTACTCATTGCTCTCTTTGCCTCCTCTTCTGAAGCAAACTCAACGTAAGCCTCACCAGTAGCCTTCCCATCTGGACGGCTTGCAATATGTATCCTATCTTCAGCGAGGTCAAACTCTCCAAAAAACTCAATAATGTCGGATTTTTTCACAGAGAAAGGCAGACCACGCAGCTTCAGTATCTCGGTGTATTCCATCTGGTCCTTGTCGCTGAACCTCTTTTGTCGAGGAGGAGGACTTCCATGGTAGTCGTTATCATAAATGCCCTCATAGTTTACTTCAGCAGCAATAGCATTATAATAATCCTGCCTTTTGCACCTGAAGACTTCTACGTACCTACGCCCCATATTTTGTCGATCCCGTTGCAATGCGAACTCAACTTGCACAGAGCCAGCGAAGACAACAAAGGCCTCTCCCATGAACCGCCCATTCTTGTTGACCAGCAGCACATCCACAATGTCCAGTCCAGCAAAGAACTTGAAAATGTCAATGTCAGAGCAGTTGAAGGGAAGCCCTCTAAGGCGAACCACAGGAAAGGCATGAGTAGGAGGAAAACTCCCATAGCCATATGGTTGAAATCCGACAGTGCTGCTGCTAACTGCGAAGTAGGGATTCGGTTCCATCATTCTTTGTCTTTTTGAGCCGACTTCGTACCCATCCGAAACCCCCCCGCTTCCCAACATTGCCCTTCATTTACCAACCCAGAAAAGAAAAGGAAAATCCCCACTCAACCAAGTTAATAAAACCAAGCCCAACCTATACCTCTAAAACCTATTGGTGTGCGCGATTTATGGTCAATTAAGTTACATGCTATTACCACTCCTATAAACAAATCAATTTAACTGTATATGGAATAAATAATTACTTCAAAAAGTAGCAGCAAAAAGTCATTTTGAGGCTCAATGAACATCTACTCATCAAGTAGTAAAAAATGTTTGTCCCATATTTATACCAAGATAAGCACTCAATTTAAAGTAAAAACTATAAATGAGAACACTAATAAACCAACAAAATCACAAAAACTTCAAAGTTTCACAGTGGTATAGAAAAGAGAGAGCTCATGAGACACTGCTCAAAATTCAAATTATTGCTATCTGGTTGAAACTGAGAAACAAAATCAAATCCTAACATGACCCAGATATATGCCATTATGTGACAAGACTCCAGATAATCTACCTGATCCAAGGAAGGGCTAGAAAAGCCACGGCTAGGATGAGTTTATTCTAAAGTTTAAATTTAAAGAGGAGATATTCATGCAAAGAACATGCAACAAATGGAAGGCTTTATAAATCGCACGTTCTTTTTCTTTAAACACTTAATTGAAACTATATTACCAAAGGATATTGTTTTTCAAGAATATGTTCTACTGGAAACCCCATTAGGCAGTGTTTGCATACAATCAAAACACCTAAAAGAAGCGGAGGAGAATAACAGAGGAACTCATTCCTCGATCCCCAAGCCCTCAATCTAAAACACGCAATTTCAGGCAGAATCCATCAAAACCCCAGATATTCCAACGGAACAACAAAACAAATAATCCAGCGGAACGTCAGAAGAAACACAACAACAGAGAAACAAAACCAGAAAGCCCGACTGGGAAGAGACAGAAACAAGGTCAAAATTTCTCGACTTACCCTCTAGGTCCGTACATGATTGTCTGCAATCTCCAAAAGCTACTCTGATAATCGAACGAAAAGGAGTAAATTGGAGGGATTGTGAATAAGAAAGGAGTGGATTCAACGGGAAAAAGAATGGAAGAAACAAACCCTAACCAAGATTACGGAGGATGCTGAACTTCGATTCGCCTCCCGATTCCACCACCCAAATTGAACAAAAACGACACGATCTCTCTCTCTCTAACCCTAAACGATACCCAACTAGGTTACACTTTTAAATTCCGCTCTTTAATAACATTGACTGCCGATCCTAAATTACATAAATACCCTTATTTGCCCTTATATGGTACTGCCAACCATTCCTTCATATTTTACCCCAATTTGGAATTTACAGTTCCGATAAATATCTTCCATATATATATATATATATATATATTATTTATTTATATTACTATTTAATTAAATATGTTAACCTATAAATTTAGTTGTTAACTTTCAAATTTAATGTTTATTTGGGGAACTCTATTAATAAATTTTAAGTTTTAAATTTTAGTATTTTAGTATTTTAGTCTTTCAATTTTATTTTTTTTTTGTTAGGTTTTTAATTAATTATTTTCAAATTAATTTATCTATTATATATAAACTTAAATTTTATATAATAAAATTTTAATTTTAATTTTGTGTCTATCTATAAAAAAAAATTATATTTATAATTGAAACCAAATTAACATTTTTTTTTGTCATATTTATAATTTTAACTTTTAAAATAATAATAATCAACTATCATAATTGTAATATGATTTCAATATTTCTAACTTTAATTTCAAATTTGATTTTATAGTAAAATATTAATGTTCTATTTTTTATATAAAAACTAAAATATTAACAAATAGATAAATTATAATTGTAAATTAAAAGGTTAAATAATCCCTTATTAGTATGATTATCAATTAATTAATATTTTAGTTACAATATTATTTATTTTATATCCATTAGAATTATTAAAATAAAATTATTTTATATTTTAAAATCTCATAATAATTAATTAACCTATTCAGTAAACTCGAGTATAGTTCAATTAATTAAGTAGAGCTTCAAATTAGAAGAAAAATATTTGAATCCCGGTCTAAAAAATCTTTTAACAATATAATTAGTTAATGAACTTGTTCAAAGATTAAATATCTGGTAACAAAATGAAATTTATTGGAAAAATCCAAATCATATTTTAGCACCATTTACTTGTTACAAAAACCATTCAAAATTAATAATTTTAAAGATTTATATTTGAAAAAATAGTAATAAATAAAATTAGTTGGGTCGATAAAGGTTTCATCTTAAAAAATCCGACACGGAGAACAATTTTTATGATTTTCATCTTAACCAATCCAAACCCGAAAACAATCTCTTTTTGAAAACATATGTAAAATGAAAATACGCTTCTAGAATAGGACACGCAATGAATAATAATCACCCGGGTGATCGGAGGGGTCGATAAAGATTCGATATTTGAATACGACAAAAACGACTAGAATGTAACCGAAGAACGAGCATTTAGATGGATGGGTGTAAAGTGAAAGAAATCATATTGATAGCATGTAGAACATATAAATCAGTGATCTTGAGGATGCTTTAGAGCACAGCCCTCACCCCTCCCACCAACAGTTTCTATATCCATACTCGATGATTCACTCACTTGTGTCAATGTCTTGGAAGAACAATATACTAATTTACATGCTGTATTAGTTGATCAAGAATCAAATCATTTTCAAAAATCAAAACAACAAAAAAAATCCACCTGTAACAGGAAGTCAGACGACGACGGTACGACGAACGATCGATCAGACCGAGGAAAGAATCTGAAAACGGTACTGTTGCTCTGCAGTCGAATGCCTCGCCCCCGCCTACCCAGTTCTTCACTTACCCACTCTAATCTGGAGGTTGCTCATTCCAACATTCACCTTTTCGACCTCGGATTTATTCTTCACCTCACTTTGAGTTACGTTCCTCGGATTCAGCCATGGATGCTGCAGGCATTGCTGCGCGGTTGGTCGCTTCTCTGGAGCGAAATCAAGAATGGGACTCAGAAACTCAGCAAAACCTTGAGCATCAGCTTCTGGAAGTTTATATTTCTCGACCAGCAGTCGACTGAGAGGCCAGAATTTCAGCCTCCGAATCCTCTTCAGGTCCCCGTGCCTATCGAAGTAGTCTTTCGATCGAGCGCCTCCTATAGCAATCTGGGTGCCAAGCCAAAACATATGAGAAATGGAAAGCAAGAGGCATTGATACACTATAAGAAGCACAGTTTGCTTACTTTTTTAGGCATCTTTCCAAGAAGTTCCATCATTAATGCAAGATGATCCTGAAAGCAGCACAATGAAGAAGCTAAATATGTGACCAACACAGAAACTTGACAACGGAATGAGATATCAATCGAAGTTTTACCTTCCACATTTCCCCTACTTGCATATAGCAATCAACTAAATGAAGCTCAAAATGCTGCTAAAGATAAAGCATTATCAAACAATCCCTTAACTTTCAAACACGCTCGGTATCCTCATCGTCACAGGCATCGCAATATGTGCATATAGACACACGAATATGATCATTTTTACAAGTTAAGAAAAGAATAGGATAGCATTCCGTTCTATTTCGAACCAGCTAATAATGATAAGTTCCAAAACTACCATATCGCTCGCTCGTATATTCCAAAAATAGCATATTACTTAGGAAATGGTGTTAGCAATCATCCTTACCTCGTCCTCGCTATAGTCTTGTCCAACTTTTGGAGTAAGCATCATATCACCTGTGGCGAGTTCGAAAGCGATGCAACCAAACGACCACATGTCAACCGAGTAGGAATATCCAGACTGCAGTATGACTTCAGGAGCTCGATACTGTCTTGTTTGAATCTCTTCCATGAACTGCTTATCTGCCCAACATGCATTACCAAAATCCACAATCTTGCACCTCAGATCAATACCATCTAGTTTTCTGTCTTCAGGCTTCGGGGACGCTCCTCCCAAAGAAACGGTTCGTTCGGAGATCCTCGACACTGCTCTCCTTGCTCTTCTTTTCAATTTCTTCTCAATAAGATTCATGGTTGCTCCACCAATTGTGTTCCCCTCAGGCCTTTCAAGAATAGGGGCCAGTCCAGATCTTACAGGATCTTTGGTAGGATCAATGGTGGAAAACAGAAGAATATTTTCAGGTTTCAGATCAGTGTGGATAATGCCAAGTTCTCTGTGCAAATAGTCCAGAGCAACCAAAATACATCTGCAGATCTCCCTGACTTTATTCAACTCAAGAACTTTATAACGATTATACTTGATCAACCGAAGTAGGCTATCGCCAAGAAACTCAAGAACCATACACAGATGTTGTCCATTCGGCCCCGCGTGCTTAAAATGATCAATCAGTTGCACAATGCACTTGGAGCTCGAGGGATCGCTTCCCGAAATCGCTGAAAGAACTTCAATTTCATGAAGTGCAGCTTCAGCAAATTGGGGAGCACTTTTCTGGATCTTAAGTGATACATATTTCTAAGAAAAGGACAGGAAAAAAATTACAAAACCAAAACATATAAACTAGAAACAACATTATATGTATAATCTACCAAAGATCAAGCTCAATATAACATATATTAAAGCCTGGGATACCACTTTTCATGGATCTAGATACCTATTTCACTTCATTTCAAACTCTGTTAGGCAAGTTTTTAACTAAGATTATAACTAAGATTGAAGAAAAAAACGGGAACCATCCATAAATGGGAAATGGGGATATGAATCAAAATAGAAACAGTCCAAAAAGAACCCCACATATCAAACACTTTATTGAATTAATGATGATAGGGAAAGAAATCTAAGTAAATGTGAGCTACATCATAAAGATCTAACGACAAATAGAAATGGGTATCGCCGTCCGGATCCAAATAAACTACAAATGTTCATAAATGATCCAAATAAGCTCCTCACAATGCACGAAATCATGAACATTCAAGCAAACCCAATACGAGAAACGAAAAACTGGGACAATCATGGAAAGACGAAAGATCAAAGCAAAGCGATCGAACATATAATGGGGTTAGGGGGAGGAAACGTACAGAGGTGCGAGTATCATAGGCGAGCCAGACGGTGGAGAATTGACCCCAACCCAGCTTTCTCTGAGCAACATAGCGGCCGCCGGCGAAATGATCGCCGATCCTCACCGCATGGTACCCTCCTTTCCTGTAAGAATCGATTCCCTCATCATCCTCAGACGCCGATGAAGATGAACACGACATGTTGCTAACCCAAAACGTTCAGATCCAATACGATCTTATCTGGGTTTGAAAAGGGTCGATCTGGGAAAGCAAGAATCTCTCTCCTGGGTGGATTTCCTTAATGGGTTGGGATTAAAAAGAAGAAACAAGAAGAGAAATTAAATAGAGAAAAGGGGGGGAAGTTTCCTTGTAAAACAATCACAAGATTGTAAGGTTAATCAAAGATAATTACAAATTATATATACCAAAATCACAGTGAAGTTCTAAAAATTTGATGGATGATTGAATTGAACGGTGGGGTTTGGCGTTGCTCTGGTTGGCTGGCCTTCCCCCACAACTCTCTCTCCACTTTTTACTCTCTGTTGAGCTTTTCAGACCTTCCCTCCTCCTGCGGCAGCTGGTGGCGGGTGGCTCTCCTTCTTTTTGCCTTCCATAACTTTTTTTTGCTTTTAATACTTTTCTCAATCCATTTAACTACCATTACTGTCTTTCATTCAAATTCTCTCTATAATGGGCATGGTTAAGGTGTATTATTAGCCCATCAGTATTAGGTGGTGAGAGATGTTGATTGATAATTATCACACAACTACTTTGTTGTTTCTCATACTTGTGCCATAATCAATCTTCATGATTAGTCTAATCACGTTTAATATTAATATGGTTGAAGATGTTCGTCTTTTATGTTTCGATCTTTGTAGTAAGTTGAGTATGTTGTTCGTTTGGAAGGAGATCATTTTCTTTATCATGGATCATTTTCTTTATCATGAAATTTTTATCCTAAACTTTTGATTTCATTTACACTTTAAACTAAGATAAGTATCGTAGAGTTGAATGTCGTTTAAAGAATTTCGTACTACCAATAAATAATGGACCGTATATTTATTACGATACTATAACACACATGTAAATTTATTGGATTGGGTGGCTACTTCAATTATGATAATGTAGACAAAAGTTTAGGAGAATGTGTAGCAATTACAAGAATAATGGTTTAAATAATTAAAATTATGACTTACATTAGGAAATCATGTGCATTAAAGATTTTGTAATAACTTAAAGTTGTGTTAACTTTTAGGTCAATGTTTTGCTTTCAATTATTTTATCTCTGCTTGGATCTCAGTGGAAGCATTTTGTCTTTTATTTCTTCTCTCTTTTATTGTGTTTTTATGAGCTATATCGAAAAAGTGCGAGCTTCAGAGCTTCAAAGTTAAACGTTTCTAGATTAGACTAAATTTATGGAATTTTCCTAAAAAATATGCAAGTGGTGACAAAATATACTAAAAGGATTAGTACAGGTCTATGGAAATAGTTCTCGCTGTTAAAAATACTTTAAGATAACATAACATGACCATGTCGTAGGAGATGCAGAGGAAGGGACCACCGGATATTGAATTTGGACTCCAAATCCTAATAGAAATCCTCGGTGTAATCAGCAGGTAATATGAAATTATCTCAAACAAGGCTGACAACACCTAAGTCGAAAAAGATAAAGAGAAATGAAACAAGTTAAGTGTTCTAATATTTTCAAAGGTTTATATCCAATTGGTCAAAGCATTGGGTTGAGTAAGATGACTTAAACAGTGGGGGTGGAACTAATCTATCCCATAATGGAGACTTGTGATGAATCCATTTTGGTTTTTTCTTGTGCCTAATTTCTTATGATCTGATCATATCCTCAGAGATTGCTGGTGCCATTTAGAAAAAAGGTGAAAACCGACAATCTTGAAGCAATAATACACAATCAATCACACACATTTCAACAACTCACATCAAAGGGAAGATAAGAATGAACTTGCTACAAGAATCAAACAGGAAACTGCACATTAAAATTCTTGAATTACTCCACAGGATAAGCAGTGAAGAAAAGAAACCATGATACCAACCAATTGTTTATCATTCTTTATTCATAAGATTAAGATTGAGAAACTTTCACGTCCCACATTGGTTGGAGAGGGGAACGAAACAAGGGCGTGGAAGCCTCTCTCTAATTGACACGTTTTAAAACCTTGAGAGAAAATCCGAAAGGAAAATCTCAAAGAGGACATTATCTGCTAGGGGTGAGCTTGGACTGTTATAGCCTAGAAGAGCTATCATCGTTAGAGTAAGGGGTAGGTTGGAGAATGGTGAAACATGTTACATTAGCATAAACCAAAATAGCAAACCCTAAGTCCCCTATTCAACATGCTACACCAAACTTTTGATGACCCATGGTGTCTAATCATAAATGAGGGCCAAATGAACAAGTCAGAGTTGTTACCACCTGACCAAGCAAAGAATACAATACCAATTTAATGATGTAGGGCAAGTCATGAAGCACAGCCATAACACCTAAAAATGACAAATCCAGGTGAACTGGAGTGAGGGTAGAAAATCAATGCATTGTTCTTGTAGAGTTGATATCCAAAGACACAGTAAGCCATAAGTTTACATCAGAATTCAATGCATAATGATCACCTACTAACTTAAGATTAGTCAACATGCTGCTTGGCCTAGACACTCATAGAAATTGGGGAAAAAAATTACACCATTTTCCGCTTTTCTTTCCAATATTCCAACCAATTGGCCTAACCCACAATAATACAGTGAGATCGTAAGTCGATGGGAGAGGGAAACGAAACATTTCTTATAAGGATGTAGAAACCTCTCCCTAGTAGATGCGTTCTAAAACCTTGAGATGAAGCCCGACAGGAAAAGCTTAAAGAAAACAATCATCTAATCAGTTGCAGGTGAACGACAACCAAGCATAGCTTCACAAAGACAATCCAATTCAGTATTTTACACCAGTGATATCAAATTGGGAGAAGTTAATAACTGGCTAATGCAAGCAAAGGCAACACATCAGTGATCAAAATGAAATCAGTTCACGTCTTACAAATTAGCTATAGTCCCATAACAAAATTGCATCTCTCGTGATCAAAATTAACTTTTCTTCCAAGAGAGATGGCTACATTTAGCAATTGTCCAAGCCCCCCTTTCCTTGAAATTCACAAGTAACTCGATGGAATTAATTCAACTTCTATCAAAAACTAAATATATCAGCAGAATAGATTACGGACTTAGCATACAAAGTAACATTCAGTCACAGTAAGAAGAATGAGGTCACTGAAAAAAATTCTCAATTTGAGGCGATATACTGAAGAAGAAAGGGAGAAAACCCCCAAAAATTTAGGAATTGCATTAATCCAATTCCTTAACAACCTTAATTCCCATGTTATTGGCAGTGCCGATAATGGACTTACAAATGGACTCTAATGGCATGTACTGGCAATAAGGATCGGACTGCTTGACTTTCGCGATCTCGTAAATGTGCTTGAGGGAAAGCGTGGAGGCGACCACATGGCCTGGGCGGCCGCTCTCAGACTCGATCCCGGCGGATTTCTTCAGGTACCAAGTGACCGACGGCGACTTGACGGTGAACTCGAAGGTGTTGTCCTTAAAAGCCGTGATGGTGACGGCCATGGGTGTGTCCGCCTTGTACTTCTGAGTTCGGGCAGTGAAATCCTTGCAGAAGGCCATCAGATTCAGCCGGTACTTACCAAGCGCCGGACCCACCGGTGGCGCTGGCCGAGCTCCGCCGGCAGGGACAGTGAGCCTGATGGTGGCGGCGACGGGTCGCCTAGTTAGGATCTCTTTCAAAGTGGCCATGGCTGTTCGCGGGAACCTTTTTTTCCACGTGGAGTCTGTTCATGAAATGGGACAAGTGGCCAGATGGATTAAATTTTACTGAAAAGGAAGGGTCAATAAAAGTGATAAATGGGCTGAAATTGTAGGCCCACGGCCCACTATCAATTTTACTTTTATTTTTTGTGCTATAATTTAAAATATTAAAATTTATAATTTTTTTTTTCATTTTCAGAGTATAATATTAAGAAATAAATTTTTAATAAAAATAAATATCTTATAATTCTATATATTAATACTACTTGAATTTTAGATTTTTTTCTTCTAATATAATTAAATTAAATTTACAAAAACTATGTAAATTTCATTATACATTATAATTAAATGTCAAAATATAATGAAAATTGCGATTATTGGATATTTTTGCTACAACATTTTGATGCTCCGACGTTTTTTTATTCGAAAAATCACACTTTTATTATTAAATAATTTTAGAAAATTAAATTATCTAAATATATTAAAACCGAGATCTACACCCGACACGGATTTAAGAAATTTAGGCTATCTAACTCTATTAAATATATCCAAACTCGAGTCTGCCACTTTACAAACACCCTCTAAAAATTTCTTATAGTTTGAACCGACAGTTTTATGTCTCATGGATCATTAAACATTTAATAATTATCCTTGATGTTTTATGTCATTGAACTAATATAATTTAGAACACAAAGTTCAAAGTTTTGAACTTTTTGGTCACTTTTTATATTTCAAGATCTATTTAATGTTTTAACTTTTAAGGAATATTTGTAAGTTGATTCCATACGAGGGTGCACGAATTTCCATGAACAGCATTTGGCGTACATAAGTCATTACGCATAGAAATATGATTCGTTCTCAGGAAAAGGACGAAGAAATTCAATTTCCATTTCAAAATTTCTTAGCTTCTGTTTTTGTTATGAAAAACGTGATATAAATGACGATATTCCAATCCAAACAAGAAAAAAACAAAACCCAGTAGAAAATTTGCACCCCCAAACGATTCACCTTCACCACTAAAAGACTCCACTACGATGAAATTCGATTCAAGGGTCTTAAAATGGTTATGGGTATCGATTGTAATGGAGGGTCAGGTCAGAGTGTGAATGTGCGTACTGCGCAACATGACAGTGCCAATATTTGTTTATGGCTGAAAAGGGAAGCGCGCAGAGCTGTGAGAGCTATTTTTGGGGCGCCCCATAGTCGGCGGTGATTGATTCTCCAGCAGCCAAGGGATTAAGGTAAGGCTTAGCTCGCTTGGTCTTTTCAATCATTTAATGCTTTCATCGAACGGTTCTGTGCCCGTTTTGGAGGGCATCCGTATTCACATGAGAAGACTCTCCACCAGTTAGAGTCGATGAAGATGGCCCCTCATTTTGCCAACGAGCTAACATTCTCTTGGCTTGTTCTTGTCGAAGAGGCTTCTGTTTATTAAGTATATCTTCACTAGGATAAGATTATTGAATCTTTTAGTGGGTTCTGTGAATTCAGTACTCGTTGGTTTGCACCTTATCTGAACTGTATGAATCTTGATTGTCCAATCTGGAATGCCCCCGTTGATGCTTTTGGGTATTTGTTCTCTGGTTCTTCTTCCTTTGCCACAACTTTATGGATTATTGCTAGCTGATGTTGTTTTTGGTTTGATACTGCTTTTTGTTCCTCGATTTACTGTATTTGGATAATTTCTTCATGCATTCTGTACTTGCTTCATATTTTCAGGCGCCGTTGCTCAATCTTGAAGCACTTAGATCTGATACCTTTGTGGATTATCCCTAGCTGATGTTGTTCTTGGTTTGATACTGCTTTTTGTTCCTTGACTTACTGAATTTGGATAATTTGTTCATGCAATTCTGTACTTGCTTCACATATGCAGGCGCCTTCACTCAATCTTGAAGCACTTAGATCTGATACCTCTATGGATTTATCACTAGCTGATGTTGTTCTTGGTTTGATACTGCTTTTTGTTCCTTAACTTACTGTATTTGGATCATTTGTTCATGCAATTCTGTACTTGCTTCATATTTTCAGGCGCCTTTACTCAATCTTGAAGCACTTAGATCTTTGAGTATGCAGTTTTTTTAAATTCATTATGTTTTTCTTTTCTGTTCCTCGCATCTTTGACAGATTAGATAGCATTTGAGGAATAGTTATTATCCAGTTCAGAATGAGGATTATATGCATTCTAGTATTCATGCTTCTCTCCAGTGGGAGTTCCTCAATTGGAGATAGCAGAAATGTATCCACGAGGCCTGATGTTGTCAACATTGGGGCTTTATTCTCTTTCCATTCTATGATAGGAAAAGTTGGAAAAATCGCGGTAGAAGCTGCCATCGAGGATGTGAATTCTGATCCATCCGTTCTTGGGGGGACGAAGCTGAATCTCACTTTACATGATACCAATTACAGTGGATTTTTGGGCATCGTTGAGTGTATGTGTCGAGCTTGTTGCATATAATCTGATGACTGATATCTGTTCTTGACTGTTTTATCTTGAATGAAAATGGTTTGTAATTCTTTTTCTGCAGCCTTGCGTTTTATGGAGACGAAGACCGTGGCCATAATTGGCCCCCAAAACTCTGTAACTGCTCATGTGATATCTCATATTGCAAAAGAGCTCCAAGTTCCTCTGTTGTCGTTTTCGGCGACCGATCCCACACTGTCATCACTTCAGTTTCCTTTCTTCATCAGAACGTCACAGAACGATCGGTATCAGATGGCTGCAGTAGCTGCAATAGTAGACTACTTTGAATGGAGAGAAGTGGTTGCCATCTTTGTTGATGATGACCATGGTAGAAATGGTATTGCTGCATTGGGGGATCAACTTAACGAGAAACGATGTAAGATCTCACTAAAAGTACCATTGAAGCCTGATGCGAGTCTAGACGAGGTCACTAATGCACTTGTTAAGGTGACTTTAACCACGTCTCGAATACTTGTTGTTCACACTTATGAGTCCACAGGTATGGTGGTGCTCAATGTAGCTCAACATCTTGGATTGACTGGACCTGGCTATGTATGGATAGCCACGAACTGGCTTTCTTTGCTACTCGACACGAATTCTACTCGTCCTCCTGGTTCTATGGAAAGTATTCAAGGACTTATTGCTTTGCGTCTTTATACTCCAAATTCTGCACTCAAAAGGAAATTTGTTTCTAGGTGGACGAATTTGACTTATGGAAAGTCGTCGAGTGGCCAATTCGGATTGAGTACGTACGGATTATATGCGTATGATACTGTATGGATGCTTGCTCATGCAATCAACTCATTTCTTAATGAAGGTGGAAATCTTTCATTTTCAAATCTTTCCAAGTTAACTTGGGCTGATGTTGGAGCTTTGAATTTGAATGCCATGAGCGTCTTCAATGGTGGGAGGGCACTACTACAGAATATTTTAGACGTAAATTTCACTGGAATAACAGGTCCAGTTGAGTTCACTCCAGACCGGGACTTGATTCGCCCTGCGTTCGAAGTGATCAATATTATCGGCTCAGGGGAAAGGCGAATTGGTTACTGGTCTAACTATTCTGGCTTATCCATTGTGCCTCCTGAAACCCTTTACTCAAAACCACCTAATGGATCCAGTTTAAATCAACAGCTATATGATGTGGTATGGCCAGGACAAGCAGCAACGAAGCCTCGTGGGTGGGCGTTTCCAAACGGTGGAGGGCATTTGAGAATCGGTGTCCCAAGACGAGTCAGTTACCAAGAATTTGTCTCACAAGTAGAAGGAACTGACATGTTCAGTGGCTACTGCATTGATGTCTTCACTGCAGCAATTAACTTGTTGCCTTATACGGTCCCTTATAAGTTAATTGCTTATGGGGATGGCGTTACTAATCCAAGAACAACCGAGCTTGTTCGTCAAATCACGACCGGGGTAAGCATTATAATGAAAGGTTACTTACTATGATAGAACTTCATCTTTTAACTCTTGTTGGAAAGGAGAACGAAGCATTCCTTATAAGGATGCGGAAACCTCTCCCTAGTAGACATGTTGACGGCGATACGTAACGGGTCAAAACGGATAATATCTACTTGGGCTGTTACAAACTTAGAATGTTTTCTTCCTTATAGGTCTTCGATGCAGCGATAGGCGACATTGCAATTATCACGAACCGAACCCGGATGGCGGATTTTACACAACCATACATCGAGTCCGGCTTAGTAGTCATAGCCCCAGTCAAGAAGTTGAACTCTAATGCTTGGGCCTTTTTACGGCCGTTCACTGCAAAGATGTGGTGTATTACTGCTGTTTCTTTTCTTGTAGTAGGCGTAGTTGTTTGGATTTTGGAGCATAGGATTAATGATGATTTTCGTGGCCCTCCGAAGAGACAAGTTATTACTATTCTGTGGTGAGTTCATGTGGGATTCTTATTTCAAGACACTCCTTATCAAAGCTTTCAAACTAATTTCTTCCTTTTGTCTCTGTTCTTTATCTGATGCAGGTTCAGCTTCTCAACTATGTTCTTTTCTCATCGTAAGTGAACGTATGTGAGCTAACTCGAAATGAATTTGATGGAAGCTGATTCAATATTTCATGCCTTTTGTGTAGGGGAAAACACGGTCAGTACCCTCGGTCGCCTTGTGCTGCTCATATGGTTATTTGTTGTTCTTATTATAAACTCGAGCTACACTGCAAGCTTGACCTCTATCCTTACAGTTCAACAACTTTCTTCTTCTGTCAAAGGGATTGAAACTTTGGTTTCAAACAATGACCCAATTGGGTACCAGCAGGGTTCGTTTACTCGAAACTACTTGATTGAGGAACTTGGCATTCACGAATCGAGACTCGTTCCACTAATCTCAATAGAACATTATGTTAAAGCCTTGAATGATGGTCCACAGAAGAATGGTGTTGCTGCTATTGTCGACGAGCGATCGTATGCCGAGCTCTTCCTTTCAACTCATTGCGAATTCAGTATTGTTGGCCAAGAGTTCACCAAAAATGGGTGGGGATTTGTAAGTACTTCAATCATGTTTCTTTGTTTGCTCGTCTATCTGTCTATTTAGTTGTCATTTGATGATGGTACATTATACCAACAGGCTTTCCAGCGCGACTCTCCTTTAGCAGTCGACATGTCGACCGCTATTCTACGACTGTCCGAAAATGGGGATCTTCAAAGAATCCATGATAAATGGTTAATGAAAAGTGCTTGCACATCACAAGTCTCCAAATTTGAGGTGGATCGACTTCAGCTCGATAGCTTTTGGGGACTTTTTCTAATATGTGGATTAGTCTGCTTGCTCGCTCTAGCGATATACGTCTTTCAAATGTTGCGCCAATACAGCAAGCATTACTCAGAAGAACTTGAATCTTCTGAGCAAACCTCTCGATCTCGATCTCGGTCTAAAAGCCTACATAGATTTCTTTCTTTTGCAGATGAAAAGGAAGATGTCTTTAGGAGTCGATCCAAGCGACGACAGATGCAGGAGGCTTCAGTTAGAAACATGAATGGAGATAATTCAGCAGGCAGTTCAAGAAAATATGACAATTGTGATGCTGATGGTATGTATTGATGCATATGATCTTCGTGGACAATAACATACATTTGTGAAACTACTGGTACAGGTTAGAAACAGGCATCATGGTTGCATGTTGTTAGCGCTTACTCGATTTTCTTTAGCAACAGTATCATCAAGTATCGAGAGAGGACGAAATTTAAGAGCCAAAAATGTTCTTTGTATTGTAACACTTTACAGTAATTCAGATCTATTCAGCAATATTTACAAATGTATACATGTATATTAGTACTCTAACCATGCTACCATAATAATTTTAGCATTTTTTTCAAGACATTCATATCTAAGAATCTAGTCTACAGGGCTTTTAAAGTACTTCTGAAAGCACTCTTCTTGCCTACAGTATTGACTTATAACTTTGTAAACTTCAATCAAGAGTCTTGGAAACCTACTAGCAAAGTAACCATCGAATCCCTCTGGAACAGATCCTATGAGCTCCTGAAATGACAACGAAAACACAAAACGATGGGTTGTCACCGATTTTGGCTCATTAAAATGAACGATCAAAGAATGAAAAAAAAGGAAGGAAACCTGAATTTCTTTCGGCAGTTCTCTATAATGATTCAGTTTATTGCGCATAACTCGCAGCAAGTCTCGAACGCTATCATACTTGTAACGCCGATACCAACCGATGTTAGCAATGAAAGCTGGTTCCATCTTTTCATCCCATTTAGTGCCTATAGCTAACTGGGCAGTATTCTCTAATGCTTTCATGAGATTAGTCTCTCTGTCTTCCAACTCTATTCTATCACTAGTATCATGAAGAAAAGAAAGTCGCATCTCCGAACTCCAGAAAAAAGGATGGTGCAACACCTCTGATGCTTTTGGTCTGGTATATTATCAAGAGAGATGAAGTAGATATGCTTTTACACTACATAAATGATATCTAAGGATTTTTTAATGTTCATGAACAGAGATTTCTTACCTCAAACAAGGGTTAGGATTTAACAATTGAGAAATAAGATCTAGAGCTTCTGGGATGCTTTCCACCAAGAACAAATTCATTTGATTCTTCACAATATTGATATCACGCTCGAGACGATCACCAAATGGATGTCTACCACCTGTGATGCAGAAAAAGAGAACACAACCTAAACTAAACAAATCGACTGCACGGGTTTGTCGCCCCTGAAGAAGCTGTTCGGGGGCTTGCCAACCAGAACTCCCACAACCTGCGATAGGATTTTTGTCTCAAGTTACCCATCATTTCTAGAGACTTAAAAAGCCTCATTATCAACCAGGAATGCATGTTGAATATAACATGAGTATTGAAGGGAGACGAAAGCTAGTGAAGAATACTTGCCAGTGGCACGATGTCCCAAGGATGACATATCAGCTGAAAGATGCTTGCTGATTCCCATATCAGAGAGCTTTGCACATATAGATTTTTTCTTAATTATCAACACATTTTGTGGCTTCAAGTCCCGATGAATTATCCCCAACTCGTGCAAATGCACAAGCCCAGCTACCATATCCCTGCATTTGACAACTATCAAAACCAAACCTACTTCATGTTCCAAGAACCATATATTATTGTATACAAGTTAGTGGGAAAACACTATATTTTCCGCATGAGAACTAACAAAATTAATCCATATAACTAAAGATCATTATTGTGTTGGATAATAAATATAGAGAACCTCATGAGTTTTAGAACAACTGTAGATGGATGGCCATTTTCTTTCCACAATTTCAAATCTGGTATAACCTCTTTGACTGAATCAATCATGGGTACAGTATCTTGATCCAAGCCAAGCATAGAGTTCAAGGACTGATCAGAACAAATCTGAATCAAATCATCGAGGCTGCAAGTGCACCGTTCCAATGAAATATAGACAAAATCTTGATCACTCTCCGTGCCATACCATCGAACGATATTTTGGTGAAAATCAGAAGCCATTAAATTTTGAACTTCCTTAGAGGCAACATCATGGTGAGCCTTGACAAGGCGCTTCACAGCAACTACTCGGCCTTCATAGATTCCCTCAAGAATAACGGTGCCATTACTACCCTTGGCTATCTCTTTGTTGGTTACAATTAGTTTACCAATCCGACGTCCACCAATAAGATTATTGTCCTGAAACCAGTTATTCTCACTTTGCATAAGCGAATTTTCAATTTCTGATGAAATAGATGCATCCATTTTCTCAGAATTTCCACTTCTTTTTGATTTTCGAGGTTTGTTTTTCTTCGAAGAGATAATTCTTGCATTATAAGTACTAGACAACTTCTCATTGAAGAAACGCTGTTTTACCTTTACAGCCAATGTCCTGCCATACTTCATCAATCCCACTAGCATGGTTATTAAAACTACAAAAAGCAATCCAATAGGTCCAGCAAGAGTCTCCATTTTATTAAACCCCTTGAAGATACTTGATTCATTAACCTTCATCAAAGGCATTGGGACTACTGCTTCGCTACTTGAATTGGGTGGCAAAGAAGAGATATTGTTTGATACAGGCTCAGGAAGCATCAATCTTTCAGGATGACTGTTTAAATGTTTATCAATCTTTAACTGGGAAGGAAGGATCGAACCTGAAGCAGACACCAAAGACATATTATCAACATTATGAGCCTTCGATAATCTTTTATACCCCAACTTTCCTGATAAAACATGGCGTTCACGAAAGACAAGTACTTTTGATTGGCAAGACAATGGCACAGCATAATCAACTTCATAACTACTATTATTTTGAAGATTCCAAGGAATGCCCTCAACTGGATTCTCAACCTCTGGACAGAGTAAGGTAGCTCCGATTTCAGCAACACTCAAACTCCAGGAAACTTCTTTAGAACCCGAAAAGGATGATTTCAGAGAATAATCTGTTCTTGTGATGTACAATCGTGGCTCAACAGGGGGGTTCATCACGCCAGGTTGCATCAAATCCTTATCGTCTAGATTATTTTTCGCTTTAGAACTACCAAGATCTTCATTGCTTAGTTCAGATGACAATAGATCAGGTATGTGACTACGAATAAGCTCTCCAGTCACATGATCAACCTCAAAAACTGTGGTTTTCGTAGAACCAGTCATCACCGTACCATCCTCAAATATATATGGTGAACTTCTAACAACCTCATCAATCGTTTTTGGTAGTTTCTGAAATGTCAAGGAATCCCAAGAGGAAAATATATATTCATATCAAAAATGAAAAAAAGGAAAGACAATCAAAACAGCGATTGCAGAATCAATACTGAAACAAATTTCGAAAGAAAACATTAACACATGATGGTGTTATTCATTCACTAAATTTTACCGTTTCACCATACTCTGTGTGCATGTAGAGCTCCCAGTCATCCCCACAATAAAAAAAGAAGGATCTGCTCAAACCTGAAGCATTTTCTTGATTCTGCTCATGATGAACATGAGCTTGATGTGACGAATAGATTGGCGGTCCAGAACTGAAGGACCAAATTATCTTCATAGAGTTACTGTCCACCAAATGAATTGCCCCATCCAAAGCAGCTATAAGAGCAGTACTACCTTTCCTACGATAGTATATATTGACAGTACCACTCATTACATTGATTTACAAAATACAAAACTAATAGCAGAAGAATGGTATTGATTTGGATTAGTTCTTACGGATTTGAAAGACTATTTTTATTGATAGTGAAGAGATGGAAGCATCAAATGGTGGATAAGTATTTCGTTCTATAAACGATTAATTTGTCCAAAGAGCAAGTAGATGAGTTGAGGTTACAAGAAATATCCTCGATCAAGGTTGATCAAAGAGATTAAAGAATCTTCGTTGCATATTAATAAGGAAACGAGAGAAATGAATTGAAGACTCACGTTGGAACGGACAAGAGGGATCTGCCGCCAATTCGAGCTACGGCTTCAGAATCATCCAAACCCCCATACCGGCTCAATCCAGAGAATCCTGAATTCTCAAAATTCCTCGACGCGCCAAGATAGCTCCAAAATCGTAACAGTATCAATAGAAGTATCCATAAATAGCGAAAGGAAGAACAGCACTTCATTCGAGAGCCAGTAGAAATGTCTCGACGAAAATTGAAACAAATAGGAGATGATTTATAGCGAGATCTTCAAATAGAGAAGAAATCTTGGAAGAACGTGAAGGAACAGGCAGCGATTGAGAGATTCGAAGCTTCTTCAACTGTATACAATCTTGGAATCTCCAATCTTCGGCATTTCCCCTAAACCCAAACCCAAACCCTTCTCCGATTTCTCTTCCTTCTTCGTCTGAAATTAACACAAACATTTTAATCGAGTAAACTTCTCAAAATTCTTAGATTTCAACAAAATATATATAATTCCGTGATGAAATTTGTATCTTTGAATAGAACAACACATAATTAAGAAATTTATTGAAAAAAATTAAAGTTTATTGGACAAAGAATTGAAAGATTATAGACAAATTTTAAAGATACAAATCTAAATTAAGTGACGAATTTATAAATTAATTGTTCTATCCTATTTATTAAACGAATAATTGAGAGAGAAAAAATTAATTTTTTTTTAATCACTTATCCAAAAATATATACTCATGGTAAATAAAAATAATTTAAATGGTTGGCAACGTGATAAAAATTGAAAATAAAATAAATAAAAGAATACTTTTTTTTAATAATTAAATAAAATCGAATAAGAAACATGGTGCGCTTTGGGCAACCTTGTAATTTAGTATTCTGACACGTGCCGGTTGTCGATTTTGTCGGAGGCTGGAAATATCAAAGAGAATTAATTACTTTCTCACGTGTGAAATAACAAATCAATTAGTCCATAATCCTCTACTTAACTCACAATTTGGAATTTAATCTTTTAAAATTTACACTTCCCTCAAAAAATTTATTAATAAAAAATTGATATAATTATCAAATTATTATTTTATTAATATATTTTAATTTATATAATTACTACTTGAACATGTTTTAACATGTTTGGTTTTTTATAACATGGGGGTTAGTTATGAATTAATATAATAATGCATAATTATTGCAAGTTGTAAAAAAAAAAAAAAAAAGAGATAAATAATTAAAATTTCAGATTTCTTGGAATTTTCAAATTATATATTTATATATATTATAAAAGTCAATAAATTATATGCAAATTGTCATGTTATTTGGCTATTTTCTCGCGGTTAATTCAAATTTTTCTAGTAATTTTTTTTAAAATAATATTTATTCGAGATAAAAGTAAAGTCAACGTGTTTTTGTGGCGAGAGAGGAAAGTAGACAAGATGTGGAGTATTAAACATTCTCAACAACTTCGAATTTTGAAGTCAACTTGTTGACTTTTATTATCGATGAGTTGACTTTTTTTATCAAGTTTAATTTATATCGGGACATTGTTATTATAAGACGAGTCAAGCTAGATTATTTCATACTAATAATAACTCTATCAAAGGCTACCCTGTTATTAGAATAGCTTCGTGCACCTGTTACAATTTTGGTTGTCTAATAACTAGTTTCGTCTCGAGATAAGAAATAATCAAAATATAATAAATAAAAAATTGAAATGGATTATTGAATAAAAAAAAACAAAATATAAAAATAATATTGGGAAAAGAATTGACCTTGTCATTGTCGTTGGAGGGTAGTGTTTATTAGGGTGACGCAAATGGGGAAATAATAAAATAAAATAAAATAAAAGACATTAATTTGTCATAATGAATTTCAAATTATTACGGAAAGGACAGCACTATCCATTTATTTATATTTCTAATTAAAATAATTTTAATTTAAAGTCGGTCAATATAATTAAAATATATTTTAAAATAAAATTTTTTGAGTAGTTTGAACCCTAAAAAATAATTGAAATTTTAAAATATATTTAGAAAATTTAAAATTTATTTTTTAAAAGTTAAAATTTAAGGATTTATCAACACAAACTGACAAAAGTAAAAAATTTAATATAAACTGAAATATATATAAAATATTAATTATTATTATGATATTAAAAAAATTTACAAAAAGAAAAAGAAAAAGAAAAAGAGAGAGAGAGAGAGAATAATTCTTGAAAAGAAAACTCTGTAATTTCATTGGTGAATCTGTTGTCTACTTCATCAATTCTGGCGGTAATCTAGGCGCTGCGCTAATTTGATAGCCCAAACGCGTGGACTTGGTTTCTGTAGTGATCTTGTTCCAATTTCAAAAGGAATTGCATTCTTCAAATTCAATGCAAACAGTGAAAAGAGAAAGCAAAATCACAGTGATTTCTGGTTTCGAATCCAAAATCTTCACCAACGAAGGTCAGAAATGGTGCATTCTTGTGTTGTAATTTACCGCACGCAGCCGCCCAGTTCCAATAGCCCTACTCCGTTGACTAAGTTCTTCGATTTTCCCCAATCTAAAGCTCACCCAAATAAATGCGGCTTATTACTGTTTTCAGAAACCCCAGGTTTTGCAGTTATGGGTAATCGATGACTGAGGCGATGGACCCAGTTCGAAAATGAACGCGTTTCTCTTCTTAAGATCAAGGGTTCTTGTGGGTCTCTGTTTAAGTCGGTCAATCTTTGTGTTATTTTAATCCCCAATGCGAATGTGCCCCCACTAAGCTGTCTGTCTACCTTGAAGGGAAGACTTCTTCTTCCTGCCTGCCTTCTTTCGTTTCCATTTCTCATATATAGTTGGCTCTATTCTGTGCGATCAACTTCATTTTGGTGCTGTTTGAGTCAGACCCACCTTCTATATATCTTTGTTTGCTTGCATTTGGGTTTGTGTTTGGTAGCTGAGAAATGTTGCTGGTTTGTTACCTGTGTTTGAGTTTCTTGTGGAGCAAATCGTTGGCGGCTCCTGCCGGCGGCGATGGCACCACGAGGGAGCTTGACCAGACTCCGACATGGGCTGTTGCCGGTGTTTGTGCTGTTATCATCATTATTTCTATCACCTTGGAGAAACTCCTTCATAAAGCTGGAACGGTGGGTTTGTGTTTCCTTGTTGCCGTGATTGTGGAATTGAATTCATCTTGGTTCTTCTCATTACCTTCTTTCTAGCCTTCTCTCGTTCTTCCATGGATACTTTGGTTCTTTCTTCTTCTTCTTCATCTTTTTATAGTCATTACCCTGTTGAAATTTTCTCCAGTTTTTGCTAGTTTTAGAGTTCTTTATGTGTTTATTTTTGGGTACCACGAGTTTTTCTAGTTGTCTCTAATGGTGATGACTGAAATTGAAAATGGGTATCAGTTTAATCTGAATTATAGATATTTGATATCACTGTGTTCCTCTGTTTTGGTCATTCAGTGGCTTACAGATAAGCATAAGAGAGCTCTTTATGAAGCTCTGGAGAAGGTTAAAGCTGGTATGTTCAACAACTCTGAAAGTCAATTCAACATCCCTTGTTCTATCTTTGCCTATAAATTTTGATGGATCAGCAAACTTGAATAAGTAAATTCATGATTGATTTGTTTTTGGTTGCAGAGCTGATGATTCTGGGCTTCATTTCACTGCTCCTCACCTTTGGCCAGAGCTACATCATTAAAATCTGCATTCCCACAGGGGTTGCAAACACTATGTTACCGTGTGCAGCAGCTAAGGATGACAAAATGGAAAAGGACGCTGGCGGAGCCGATGAAGGCGAGCATCATCGACGACTTCTATGGTATGAACGGAGGTACCTGGCTGCTGTTGGCCCTGTTAGTTGCAAGGATGTAAGAACCTTTATTTGGATACATTGTTCTTGACTGTCTAGCTTCATTGTCTCGAACATATTTTGTATAAAATCTCAAACCAATTTGTTTACAGGATCATGTGCCGCTTATATCTATCTCGGGATTGCATCAGCTGCACTTGTTTATCTTCTTCTTAGCTGTATTTCATGTAGTATACAGCGCCATCACAATGATGCTTGGGAGACTAAAGGTATGCTCAATGTTAAGCTGCAAAAGAGTGTTTTCTATGGTTGCTAGAGTTTTTTACTATATTTTCTCATGAATGCAAGTTCATTATGCTAAGAAATTGGCACTCAAATCTTTTCCTTTCAAAAACAACTTTGAAAATGGGTTAACCATATATCAAAATCTAAGACATCAAGTACTGAAAGTGACTTGAAAACAGGACGTTTTGGTATAGATTTGGCGATGTTTTTGCCTTTGTAAGTTGAAACTTCTACTCATGTCAATGTTTTTATACATTACAGATTCGAGGTTGGAAGGCATGGGAGGAGGAGACCTCAACTCACAATTATGAGTTCTCAAATGGTATGTCACTATCTTTGTAGTCCAACGTTTGCTTGTTCTGTCCCAAACTTGGGTTTAATGATTTGTTTCTCAGATAATGCACGATTCAGGCTTACTCACGAAACATCATTTGTGAGAGCCCACACGAGCTTTTGGGCAAAACTTCCTGTCTTTTTTTATATTGTAAGTTTTTTCTCCCAAGCTATGCAACTCTTAGTTACTAGTGATATCTTTTTGACTGTGGAATCACTTGGATTTAATCACTCATGATCAATAAGGCAATGCTCGTAGATTGTGTATTTATGGAGATGGAATGGAGGAATTCAATCTTTATATATATATGACATTGCAAAGGAAATAGGCAATGCACAACCACACATCACCTTCACAAGGACAAAAAATGGTATCAGAGCTAGACACCGGGTGATGTGCCAGCGAGGACGTTGAGCTTCGAAGGGGGTGGACATCGGGCGGAGTGTCAACAAGGACGCTGGGCCCCAAAGGGTGGATTGTGAGATCCCACATTGATTGGAGAGAGGAACGAGTGGCAACGAGACGCTCGACCTCGAAGGGGGTGGACTGTGAGATCCCACATCGATTGGAGAGAGGAATGAGTGCCAGTGAGGATGCTGGGCCCGAAGGGGTGGATTGTGAGATCCTACATCGGTTGGAGAGGGGAACGAAACATTCTTTATAAGGGTGTGGAAACCTCTCCCTAGCAGACACGTTTTAAAAACTTTGAGGGGAGACTAAAAGGGAAAGCCCAAAGGAGACGCTAACTGTGGACTTGGACTGTTACAACTTAACTAGAGATATGAATATCATGGTTCAGACTCCTAAAATACATTAACTTTGCAGGGATGCTTCTTCCGACAATTTTTCAGGTCCGTTGGTAAGGCTGACTACTTGGCATTACGCAATGGATTCATCGCCGTGAGTTTTCGATTCCCAGCTACCTGCTGTTCATAAACAACTTATTTGTTCCTTTTATGACAGTGCTCTATATCTGTAGGTTCATCTAGCTCCGGGAAGTAAGTTTGACTTCCAAAAATATATTAAAAGGTCCTTAGAAGATGACTACAAGATTATTGTGGGAGTGAGGTAAAAATTAGATATAGAGTTCTATGTTTTCATGGAGGGATCTTTTCTTCCAAATGACTGTACCTCTACATGTCCTGATCTTTCTTATTTAACGCCTTTCGCAGTCCCGTGCTTTGGGCATCGTTCGTCGTCTTCTTACTTATAAACGTTTATGGTGAGCTTGTTGATCCTAATAACGCTCTTTTGCAATCCATACTTCAGGAGCTAGTTGATACTGATATACTATCTTCTTTACAGGATGGCAGGCATTGTTTTGGACATCCTTAATCCCTGTGATTGTAAGGAGTCTTTCTTTTTAGGGACACCATTTGAGGTTGAACTGATTATTAAAAGTTTCTAAGAACTTCTATCAATGGCAGATAATCCTGGCTGTTGGAACAAAGCTTCAGGGAGTTATGACAAACATGGCTCTTGAAATTACAGAAAGACATGCTGTTGTCCAAGGAATTCCTCTTGTTCAGGCATCAGATAAATATTTTTGGTTTGGCAAGCCTCAGCTGGTTCTTTATCTCATCCACTTCGCTTTATTTTCGGTAATCACGAACGAGATTCCTGGCTTCGTTTAGATCTTCTCTTCATCTGATAATAAATCTTCTAGTGTTTGCGTGAAACCCCACATCGGTTGGGGAGGAAAACGAAGCATTCGTTATAAGGGTGTGGAAACCTCTTTCTAATAGACGCGTTTTAAAAATATTGAGCCCAAAGAGATAATATCTATTAGTGGTGAGCTTGGATCGTTACAGTTTTGTTGGTCTAGCTCATTCCTAGGATTTAATTAATGTTCTTGCCTTTTGCGTTCTTTTCAAAGCCTTGTTTTTGTATGTGGTACTGATGATGTTTAGAATCATTTGTAAAGCATGATACTAATTAGCCCTTTGTTCTTACTGTGTTTATGCAGAATGCATTCCAAATAACGTATTTCTTCTGGATTTGGGTAATTCTCCTCCTTTTTCTTAAATAAAAAGTTTGTAAACAAAATCATTATCGAACAAGATACGAGTTACTAAATCATCCTCATTGCCCAAAACACGCTTTTCTACTGAGGTGTAACTCGAGATATGTGAAATGTTGTCGTGTGCAGTATTCGTTCGGGCTAAAATCCTGCTTCCATACTGATTTCAAGCTCGCAATTATAAAAATCGGTCTCGGGTAAGCCCAACTCGTTTCATGCTACTCTTAGGATATGACCTGAACTTTCTGTTGAAAATGTCTGTTTTGTATCTGCTGATATATTATTCGGATCGGTTCGAGTTAAACGGGTTGTGTTTTGATGATGGATTTGCAGGGTTGGTGTTCTTTGTCTTTGCAGCTACATTACTCTTCCACTATATGCTCTTGTGACTCAGGTACTAATGAGTTTTCTGCTGTCCTTGAAACTGTTTGATCAGTATAATCTTTGCTGATCTTGTGGGATATGGCTTTGCAGATGGGCACACGTATGAAGAAGTCAATCTTTGATGAACAAACATCAAAGGCACTCAAAAAGTGGCGCATGGCTGTTAAGAAGAAGCAAGGAAAGTCCCCAACTCGAAAACTCGGTAGCCCGAGCGCTTCGCCGATGCATTCATCATCAGGATACACATTGCATCGTTTCAAGACCACAGGTCACTCAAACGGATCATCCATGTACGACGAGAACGAGGCATCGGATTACGAAGTAGATCCGGTGTCGCCTAAAGCACCGGCTGCAAATATTACAGTTAGAGTAGATGCTCGTGATGAACATGAGAAGGAAATAATGGAATCCCAGCATTCAGAAAGAAGGAATGAAGATGATTTCTCATTTGCCAAACCTGCACCCACCAAAGGCTCTGCTTAACTTTTTGATTTCTCACACGTGGAAGGCAATGTAGCACATAATTTGTATATTCTTGCGGTTGTTAATAAATTGTTGGATGATTGTTGCCCAAAATTTTAATTTGAATATGATGAATGAGTATCTCACGACTCGAATGCATGCAACCAAAATCTATATCAACTCAATTATCAATTATCGGCTACGGCGTCTATGGCAAACAAGTCAGAGATGATCTCTATATTCGGCACTTGATGACTCGATATTCCCTCGTGACTTAGTCACGATGGTTAGGTTACTCACTCTTCGTTTTTTAGGGTGAAAATTATCTTACATACCAATACGAGTCTTCCAGTATATTTTACCTTCACTTATATGCATCGAAAAATTCTCTAAGAAGTCACCCAATATAAAAATACTCCATGTAAAACACGTTTAACAATAAATTAGATATTAAATTCAGCCCATTAAAAGAAAACTCGGTAAGAAAAATGATGTAATTTCAACCGAAAATTATATTATTTAATTACTATTTTGATAAATCAAATAAATATTCGTTCATTGTGCCCTACTTGAAATTATAAACTAAGACACTTATATTCCTAAAATACAAAATTCACTAAAGAGGAAAAAAAAACGCTAAAATTACAAAGACAGAGAGGGGAGGAATCCTCTACGGTGTGATGCAGAGTTCGTTGCAGTTGACTCATTACATGAAGCCCAGCTTCGCCTCTGATTCCTCACAGCCCTGTAACACCACTATTAACAACTCTATTTCAGCTTCCTGCCCATATCCCATGTCTTCATCAACTGTGATGAATCAAAGTTTTTATTTTTCTTTTCAAATCAATGGGATTTCTTCAAAAACACTTCTCAAAATCAGATCTCTAACCTCTTAGTCGAAACTATGTCTTAACTAGCTCAACTATGGACAGACTTTCTAGTTTCGAAGTAAACTTACTTGGAGGATTTCCTCAAAAACACGTCCGGAGAAGGGTTTTTGAATCTCTAACCTCTTAGTCGAGACTATATGTCTTAACTAGCTCAACTATGGACAGACTTTTAAGTTTCGAAGCAAACTTACTTGGAGGATTTCCTCAAAAAAACATCCGGAGAAGGATTTTTGAATCTCTAACCTCTTAATCGAGAAGATATGTCTTAACTTGCTCAAGTATGGACGGACTTTCAAGTTTCGAGGCGAACTTACTTAGAAAAAAGATGGCTTGTTCTTCTCTACAATGGTGTAAATGATTAAGCCCTCAAGTTGCTTATTGGGTTGCTCTGCCTTTGGTTTGAACCACGTACGAGGAACATATGGCACCACTTCTTTTTCTGTCTAACTGGCTGTGATCTGACTTCTCTATTCTCATGTAGATCAATCATGTATTGAACAACAGCCTGCGATATGGGGACAGGACAAGCCTGAGTTAGACAATTCGAGCAATGTAAGCAGTTTATGAGACGAACAGCGTGTTATGTTCGTTACCTGAGCGCCCTTTTCGAATATCTGTCTCGGGGGTACTTCAAAAGGATTCTCTTCTGCTCGTAGCACGCGAAGCTGAGTTAGCATTCTGAACGAACCGGGAAGAAACCGAATCTGGTTATTGCTAATATCCAGTTCTTCAAGCATTTCTAGATTCCCGATCGACCTCGGTAGTGATTGCAGATCAGCAAAGTTGTTTCCGATGTTCATCTTGACAAGTCTAGTGGCGAAACATAAGCTCTCTGGCACGGATTCAAGCTCATTAAAACTTACATCAAGCTCCCTCAGATTCACAAGAGAGGACATGGTTGTTGTCAATTGTCTGAGGTTGTTATAACGCACAGACAAAATCTCTAGTGTCTCAATCTTTCCTATAGCTTCAGGAAGCGCTTTAAGCCGGTTATAATCGGCAGTCAGCTCCCGGAGCGATATACATCGACCGATCGTATGAGGAATCTCTTCGATATTGTTCGTCTCCACATTCAATCTTCTCAGTCTCACAAGATTACCAATGGATTCAGGAAGTGAAGTGAGCAAATTTGAACTCAGATCAATATCCTCAAGATGAATCAGCTTCCCAAAAGCAGCAGGAAGAGATACCAACTGGTTTCCCCTGAGGTCCAAATGAACCAAACTGGTGAGATCTGTGAAAGGGCCAGGAAGTTCACTGATCCTATTGGCATGCAAATCCAATTTCTCCAACTGGGCAAGTGCTCCAATGGCTTCTGGTAGAGCCACAAGACGATTCTCAGACAAATCTAAAGACACCAAACTGGTTAGCTTCCCTATAGTATCAGGCAGCCATTCTACTTGGCCCATCAGCTTGTTACGGAGATCAAGCTTTCGACTGCCGCCCTTCCTTGCTTTCTCAATGAAACTAGCCAGAGACATCAAGTTATATTTATCACCATCTTTACCTAAGCATACAAAAGATTTCGTGTTAAAACAAGAACACTTGGAATAATGGAAAATAGAGCTTCAATCAGTAGAAAACGAGATGACCCACCTGAAGAATTTGCAAGTTTTAAGGATGGATCTTTGATAAAGGGTGAGGAAGAAACGCCTGGTCTAGCTCCAAAGCCATCCATATACGCCGCTGGCTTGCCTTTTGGGACATAACTATCATCTCGAGAGAATAATTGAGTGGTGGTTTTTGTAGGTCCATTGTCGGACTTGTATAACAAGCTTGAAGGGGCGGCGGCGGCGGTTGAGGAACTGATACTCCCAGACACAGAAGGAACGGCGGAGGTTCTGTTCTGATTAGCGGTAGAAGCTGAGTGGAAAGTAGAGGAAAGGGTATCGGGAGTTTGTGAAGAGGTTGAAGAGGTTGAAGGAGTAGAAACGCACTTCGAAGCTCTTTGAAGCATTTCGTCGAACAGGTAGTGAACATCTTCAATTTCCAGCAATTTCAAGGCTTCCCACTTGTCTTCCTTGCTTTTGAAGGCGATGAAATTCCTCTGCATATCGAGCAAGATCTTTGAAAGCTCTTCTGGGACGCCTTGGTTCTTGGTTTGTCTTTCAATGGCTTCGAGTTTCATTTGGGATTCCTTATCGACATTGCTAATCAAGACCCTGGCGCCTTCGACTTCATCAATTCCAGGCCGGGCCGGCAAAGATCTGTGAAGTTTCATAATCTCACCCACCACTTCTTGAGTGGTTTTAGGAGAAATCAACGCCTCCATTTTCTCTCAACTCCAATCCAATCTTCAAAACACCGAAAAACACCCAAAATTAAAGAACCATTCAAGACTTGAAACAACCCATTCAGATTTTTGTTTTTGTTTTTCACTTTCTTCAAACCCAGAACTCTTAGATCCACAAAAAAAAAAAAAAAAAAAAAAAAAAAAAAAAAAAAAAAAAAAAAAAAAAAAAAAAAAAAAAAAAAAAAAAAAAAAAAAAAAAAAAAAAAAAAAAAAAAAAAAAAAAAAAAAAAAAAAAAAAAAAAAAGAAACACAATCGACCAACTGAAAAGGAAATGCTCAAACAAGTTCTTTGAATTTCGCAAGAAATTAAATGAAGCCACCCGCCCCTCACAGTACCAAAAACAGCAACGACAACAAGAACACAGAGCAAAACCCCACCAAGATCAGAGAAAAGAAAGAACCCCAGTATTCAAAGCTTCAAAGATCAGAGAAAAGAACTTCGAAAATTGAAACAAAAAAAAAAAATTAAACCGAAAGAACAGTAATTAACTGGAAATGGGTAATGGGAAACAGAAATTGAGAGGGATTTTGGAAGAGAAAAACGATCGCCAACAGAGAAACTGCAAAAAAAAAAAAAAAAAAAAAAAAA